TGACGACATTGTATCAAATAACCAGGTTGCTATCTGGGAAGAGACCAACACAGATGAAACCAATAAAAGATGAAGAAGGAAACGTAATTACAAAAGATGAGAAACAGAGGAAACGATGGGCCGACCACTTCAAGAAGCTCTTGAATCGACCACCACCTGCACTTCGTCCAGAAATACCACCTGCAGCCGCTGAATTACAAGTGAACATAAATCCCCCAACAAAAATGGAAGTCCTGAACGCCATAAAGCTACTGAAATGCGGGAAAGCAGCAGGACCAGATGGGATACCGCCAGAAGCACTGAGAACAGATGCAGAGACAACAGCAGACATGCTCACACCACTATTGCAGAAGGTGTGGAATGAAGAGAAGGTACGTGGCTATTGGAAGAAGGGTAACCTTGTCAAACTGCCAAAGAAGGGAGACCTCAGTGTTTGCAAGAACTGGTGCGGAATCACTCTCCTGTCCACCCAATGCAAGCAAAATATTAAGCCGCATCATCCTGGAGACGCTTAAAGATGCACTAGACTCAAAACTACGACCGGAACAGGTAGGCTTCAGGAAGTACAAATCATGTGCAGACCAAATTGCAACGCTTCGCATCATCATAGAACAGAGCATAGAATGGCAATCACCTCTCCACCTCAACTTCATCGACTTTGAGAAGGCCTTTGACAGCGTCGACCGAGAAGTAATTTGGAAACTGTTTCATTACTACGGAGTACCGCAAACCTTTATCCGCCTCATTCAACAACTATATGAAGATGCCACATGCCAAGTAATCCACAATGGGAAGCTCAGTGATGCTTTTGAAGTGAAGACAGGAGTGAAACAAGGTTGCCTACAATCCCCCATGATATTCCAAATTGTGGTGGACTGGATCATGCAGCAAACAGTGGGGAGCGAGAAGAGGGGAATACACTGGACTGCGGAAAAGAACCTAGAAGACTTGGATTTCGCCGATGACTTATGCCTAATGTCACATAAACTTGAAGATCTGCAGGCAAAAACTAACAAGTTGACAGAAGAGGCAGCTAAGACGGGACTTCAGGTGAATATAGAGAAGACAGAAGTGATGAAGATACCGCACCACCACCATCAACAACAACAACAAACTCCAATCACCGTCAACGGGAGAAACTTGAAGGAAGTAACCTCCTTCACTTATCTAGGCAGCACTGTTTCAACTACAGGCGGCACAGACGAGGACGTCAAAGCCAGCATGATCGGAAAAGCAAGACAGGCGTTCATTAGCCTGAAACCAGTGTGGAGATCTCCTGCACTCAGCATGTGGAACAAGATACGGATTTTCAACACCAACGTCAAGTCAGTGCTCTTGTATGGCTCAGAGACTTGGCGCGTCACGAAAGGCATTTCCAATAAACTACGGACATTCATCAACAACTGCTTACGCTCGCTGCTGAAGATCAGATGGCCAGAAAGAATAAGCAACAAGGAACTCTGGGAACGAACCAACCAAGAACCTATCACGCAACAAATATGCAGGAAGAAGTGGAGATGGATTGGCCATGCACTGAGAAGGCCGACTGAGGACATCACGTGTCAGGCCCTCGAGTGGAATCCCCACGGGAAGCGACGAGTTGGACGTCCGAGGGTGACATGGAGGAGGTCATGCGAAGAGGAAATGAGAGGTTGTGGGCTGTCGTGGAACCAGGTTCAAAAGATCTCAGAGAACAAAGGTCACTGGAGGCGTGCTACTGAAGCCCTATGTTCCACTAGGAACCCAAGGGACTAATAAATAAATAATAAATATTCTTTCTTTGACTCCGGAAAAAGGCCTACGCTGTATTGTATAGGATTCTGAAGAATGTTAGTAGAACGCGTGGTACACCACTAACTGTCCTGACAAATGCGGTAGTGGGGAGGCCTCTAAACTCCTTTAGACATCTTGCTAACAATATTTTATCTGATGACAAGCATCCTCTACATCTGCACCTCTCTCCACGTCTACGGCACGGGAAGATAAGCAGGAAAGATATCAAACTCTATGCACGCACAACTAAATACAAAAATTCAACCAAACAACCTTATTTCGCTTGTGTATTGTGTGAATGAAACCATATTAGAAATAGTCTTATCAATCAACTTTGCAATAACGAACAGTTGTCATGACCCTGAAGTCATTAGGCATTTCAGCCATCAAGACAAAATGAGAGATATCGAGCAACATCCCTGAAGAAACCTGTGTGGATGAACCCTTGAACTCTTTGAAAGCTATGTGGAAAGAAACCTGCATAACCGTATTAGGAAGGAAGAAGAAAGAAGATAAGGAATGGATCTCGATGGACACATGGAAGCTGATAGAGCAGGGAGAGGATGGTGAAGCAAAAGATAAACTAGTGCAAGGACGAAGATCTACAGTCATAAACTAACAAGTTGGCAGAAGAGGTAGGACAGTGAAGAAATTACTTCCTCCAGGTGAACGTAGAGAAGATGGAGGTGATGAAGATGCCGCACCAACAACTCCAACAACAACAAACTCCAATCACCATCAACGGGAGAAACTTAAGGGAACTAACCTCCTTCACCTATCTAGGCAGCACTGTTTCAACTACAGGCGGCACAGACGAGGACGTCAAAGCCAGCCATGATCGGAAAAGCAAGACAGGCGTTCATTACCCTGAAACCAGTGTGGAGATCTTCTGCACTCAGCATAAAGCGTCAACAACATCCGGATTTTCAACACCAACGTCAAGTCAGTGCTTCTATATGGTTGAGAAACTTGGCGCGTTACGTAAGGGATTTCCAACAAACTACGGACATTCATCAACAACTGCCTACGCTGGCTCGTTACTGAAGATCAGATGGCCAGAAAGAATAAGTAACAAGGAACTCTGGGAACGAACCGACCAAAGAACCTATCGCCCAACAAATATGCACTGGAAGAAAGTGGAGATGGATTGGGCATACACTGAGAAGGCCGACTGAGGAAATCACGCGCCAGGCCATGCCACGTCGTCGAGTGGGACCCAAATAGGAAACGACGAGTTGGGCTTGGGAGGCGAGGGTGACATGGAGGAGATCGATCGAGGAAGAAATGAGAGCTTGTGGGCTGTCGTTGAGCCAGGTTCAAAAGACTGCAGAGAACAGAGTGGAATGGAGACGTGCTACTGAAGCCCTATGTTCCACTAGGAACCCAAGGGACTAATAATAAATAATAATGCTATGAAATATGACAATTGGGAGTGATATACTTTCATGCAAGGTTCTACGTTGATTTTGTTTATCTGGTATTGAAAAATAACTTAGGTATGTGAAGATTTGTTGAAAAACGAGTTGAATCAGTAGCGAAATATACACTTGTGTACTGGGATAGTGCACAAACCTCCTAGGAGGTGGAGGTGAGTGATAATGACTGGTCCGACAGAGATTATTAGGTGTAGTGCAGTTCAAAGCGTTAACTCACTGGCTGAAAGTAGTATATTTAGAAAAATAAATTGCAACTTCCTAGAGAAGTACAAGCTCTAGGATTCTGCGAAACGATGATTGCAGAAAGTTGTAAACCCAGTTAGGAATCAGTCACAAAGACTCAGATGTATAAAACGTTCAACTCATTCAAACTGTAAAATGTTTTAGTATAATTTTTCGCATTATACCGTCATTGCTTGATTGATTGTTCGGTCTCTATCTGTACATGGGCTTCTGTGCGGATGCCTCAATATTACCTGTGTTCTACTTATAGTAATTATGGATAGTGGCTAGCAGTGTAATCCAGGATGCACAGGATGTCCTATCAAAGACGGTATAATACAAACAATTATGCTAAAATTATACCCGTTGCACAAAAAGTAGTTATCGTGGCTCGGTGGTGTAGTGGATAACGCTTTGGCGTTTGAAGCGATCGCTCCCAAATCCAAATAGCGATAGGAAGGAGGCAGGTACATCCAGCTGACGAGTCCGAAACAGGACGAAATGCGCATCCTGGATCCCACTGCTAGCCACTATCCATTAGGTGTCAGGTTTCTTCGTTCAGTTGCTTGTGTCTCTGCCTGGCAATACCGAGTAGTAATCCAAGTTATTACAGATCATATCACAGTGCAAAACAGCAAGATCACGTAAGAAGTGAGGAAGAGACTTTATACGATGAAGTCATATCATATGATAGCTGGTTTAATCTTTGATAGTAAGCTTCAGTTTAAAATTCATTGGACAGTTTATTTTTATCAAATATCCAAGACACGCTAAGGGTGAAATACTAGTTAACCTTTGAGTGTGGTATTTGTTTATACATGAGCCCTGGTTTCAGGGTTTATTCGAAAAGTGAGTAACTCTAAAGATTACCTTATTAACTACTGGAATCATCTAGCAAGTTTAACGATTTCAGAAGAAAGGCGGGTTTCTGTTTCATAAAATAAATAAATAAACACAAAACATACATTTATTAATTTATTTTGAAATACCAAGTTTATTTCAAAAGGATTTCCCTGATTCCCTTGAAATCTACCAAGAAATTTTAATGTATAATTGTAAGAAAGTGTGAATATACTTTCATATTGAATGAAATTATTCCGTTTACTGAAATTTCTGCTTGTTGCCCTTCTCAATCCAGTTACCAAATTAGGCAATATGCGGATAATAAAATCCAACAAGTAAAAGATTTGTAAAATTTTCAGATAAAAATGTTTTCTTTACCTTCATGACCCATTGAATATTTTGTTATATAATATATATATTTTGTTTGTAGTAGTCACTGTTACCCATGATAAAAGCTAATGAATCACTCATTAAGTTGGTGACTGAAGAAGACAAATAAAGAGACGAAAAGGTAATTGTAAATCAAAACTAATATAGACAACAAGTGACAGTGGAATAAAAAACTTTTTCAAAACTACTTAAATCAACATGACAATAGTGATTCGAAGTTGAAACGATGGCTAGTGTATATTGTCGAAATAATAGTTATTCATGCTATTCTGCTTAGTATAACAACATTGTTAGTATCAGTTAACAGTAGAATGTCTTATTGTTATTTTCATTACTCTAATCAGGTTTAATGAAAACTTTTGGTTTACTGAATATTTCAATGGCTTGTTCTAATTCACTAAGACGACTTTCAATTTCCGCACGTCGACAGCGTATTCTCAACGTATCCATACGTATTGGTAAGTGGGAAAATTCTTCCAATAGTTGACTATGAGCTAAAGAAGTTATTGCATACAGAGAAAAATCAGGAGGAAACGAAACTAGAAATTGTTAAATCTTTTTGTGACTAAAAGATATATAAACATATATGTAATACATTTTATACAAACAAGACACAGAAATATTGAATGACCTTTTCCTCTATTGAATATTTGATAAAATTATTATAAATACTGTTCATCAGTTTTTATTTTGACCTATTCACTTGACCTTAAAGTAGTCGATTAGTACCAGTCAGAATAGCAGAGTAGAGCACAAAAGCTTAGTGAAGCATACAATATAATTGATCACAGAATCTTTGATCATGGAATCAACCGGAATGACTCACCATATAGTGCAGATATGTGAAAAATTTTACTGCCATTACAATAAACAAATGAAAAACTGTTGGACTATATAAAGAAAGTTTAAAAGTCGTATGATTACTTTTAGTTATGAATATGAACAATAAATTGTGCTCGAAACGTCATCCAGTAAGTAATACTGTATGTGTGCTGGCTATATCAAATAAACAATCGAATATGGAATTATATTCTATCAAAGTGACCAAGTTCTACTTTTACATTAATGTAATTTCATAGTTTTCATTTCCGCTTTTAAAAAGTTGGTAGAACATACATGGATTATAGGACAACGTCAAATAAAGCATATGTAATCTTTCATAGTAATGACTTGTCAGTAGTGCGACCAATAAATTGTACACTAAGAAATCGAAGTGAATAACTGAAACAGAATTCAAGAGATTTAGAAATTTAAGCTTAATCACAGCTTATAAAGACATACTATTCAGCATCGATTAAGTCTCTATAGTAAGCGAAAGTGAGTTTAAAGAAGAGATATGTAGGTTGAATTAGGCACGAACCTGTCCATAGCTAATCATAAACAATGTTGGTAAAAGGGAAGGGGTTGAATATACCACGATTATAAAGCATTGAAGTTTGTAACACCTAAAAAAAATAATTGGTACTGCGTGATGATTGAAGGTGAAATGAAAATTTGGGTGTTAGCAGGATTCGGACCAGCGGTCTATCAAACTATGGCTAACTTAGATTTCCAAACTGATAATCAAAATGAGACTCCCTCTCTCTAATTCGGCTCGATTTAAACTGGGATGAGATGTCTTGGCTGGGAACCCAGTATGAATACGATGAACAGAAAGAAATTCATCAAGAATTGACACAGTAGTCGGATAAAACTCCACTTGATTGAAATGAAGATCCGGTCGGCTAGCAGTTGAGTCTCTTGGCTCAGTTGGTAGAGCATCAACCCGATTACCTGGAGACTCAGATCTTCATTTCGCCTTCAATCATCTCCCAGCATGAATAATACAAGTCTAGTGAACCACAGCTATCTCAGATAGTTAAACTGATAAGAAAAGTAATTAGTGGTAATTGTATCGGCCTGTTTTTTTATATACATTAGAATATGACTGTTTACACGCTGTTTCATCTTTTTTTCTCCAGTTTTCTATTCTGGAATGTGGTGGTGTTACAGAAAAAAATGTGATATAGGATGTCCCATAATAATATTTCAATAGATTAATTCTTGCATTTGGTTGAAACGCTTACCAGAACAGTTATTTTATGTAAAAAAGGTTATCATAGGTTCGCTCCTGCTGTACTTCTTATATATATATATATATATATATATATATATATATATATCGTCTTTAAAAAAGTGATATTGTGTTCAATGGCAAGTATGATTAGTTTTCTTTCAATTTGAATATGTTCAATAGTTCCAACAGAAAGGCTTATCATCACTCTCCTAGGACTATTGAATCAGTTGAAGGAGAATAGACAAGGTAGACTCATTGAGGTCTAATTAGAACAAACCGAAATGCATTCAGGAACTGTGTGAAAATTCGTAAAGTAGGCAATGAGCCACACGTACTATGTCAGTGTTAGTGATAATACCTAACTACTCAGAACTTGGTAGGTGGAGCGGGGTTCGAACCCATAACCCATTGGTTGAAAGTCAACTTCTTTAGCCAATGAGCCACCCCTCCACAAGTTGAAGCATAGCATAGTATTGAATAAGTATTTTTTATTGATGTGCAAAGCAAATGACAGAAACTGTTGTATGTGATAGCGATGAACGCCCGGTAATAGATTCTTAGTTAGCTGAAAACAACACAGACTTGAGCTCTAATTGAACAAGATAGTCTCAATCAACAACAACGAACAATCTATTTTTATTACTTCTAGTCTGAAATGCTTATTGATTTAGTCTTAAACTGATTGAGTTTTCGAACTCTAGAAGCAGTTGTGTCGGCAGCTAACTTCCTAAATGTATGTATAATATTTAATTCTAATGCTTTGGTGATTCCTGTAATGTTGTTGTTGTTTGTATTATCCTGTCGTTGATTTGACCGAATTAATCACTCTCTACTGGCATTTGGGCTCCTGTGCGGATGCCTCAATATTACCTGTGTTCTACTTGTAGTAATTATGGATAGTGGTTAGCAGAGGAATTTAGGACGGGTGTTCTGTTTTATTTGGAACTCGTCAGCTGGATGCAGCTGCCTCCCAGTGACTGATGTTGTTCCCACCGGGACTCGAACTCAGGATACATCGCTTCAAACAATATTAAGATTATACCCGTCGCAAAAAAAGTGGCTGTCGTGACTCGATGGTCTAGCGGATAACACTCTGGTGTTTGAAACCACCGGTCCTGAGTGTGATTCCCAATGGGAACAACATCACACTCGGAGGCGGGTACATCCAGCTGACGAGTCCCATATAGGACGAAACTAGCGTCTTGGATTCCACTTTTAGCTACTATCCATCTTTAATAAACTCCTGTTATATATTGTGTTCAACTTGGAAAAAATTCACTTGACTTCTTCTGCTTGGTTACAGTTAAACTGTAATATGAAATGGATGCTGGGTCAGTGCTACAGTGCACTTTTGTATCTGATATTACCATACATCTATAGGTGATCAGTTAAATACTAGATATCTCTCCTGCTGAGTGCTAGTAGTTTTGTCAAATTTCAGCTATTTAGGGCCTAGTATTATTACACACAGCAAAATATCTTCTACCTCAAAATACGATATTATTTGGAGTTGCAAAATATGTAGAAATTTCAAGACAAGACATACCATCCATTCATGAGGATTGTGTATGTAGAAGCAGAAACTTCTTAGTTGGAAGCAATGAGACTAAAGAAATCAATATTTGACAAGTTTGGCTGATAAAGAAGTTAAAACTGGTCACTTTGGAGCAGATGCAATTATATAGTGTCTTCATATAAATCCCTTGTATAATACTAAGTATCTTCAGTTGATATTAAAAATTCGGTTGTGTGAATTGAATTCATTTAAGTACACTACTACCTATTTGCTTGACTTGAAACTAGTGAAACAGCAGTCTAGTATTCAGATCATTCTGATCTGCTTGGCAAAATCTACAGATTAGTGTGATTAGTTTTGAACTAATTATATAAACAAACAATATCAACATAGAACCTCGTACAAAAGTGCATCGGTTCAAGTTGCTACACTTCACAGTAGTCCACAAAGAACAGCTGGATAGAAAAGGAGTGATATCAAAATAGACAAAGTTGTATCAGAGAATCAACAATTTGAAAGTAACGGTTGGTGTAAATATTCAAGTTTTAGAAGACATTAAGGAGTATATATATTTGTGCCATGGTGATAGATTTTCAGCCATTTCATCAAGAGTCCTCAATCACTGATTTTCATCATTTCGGGGACCCTAATGAGGCATTCTATATCTTTCTGCGTAGCTCAAAATCAAGAGTCAGGGATTTCATAGACTGGTACCACATCCTGATCTGACCAAACTGAACCCTCTTTCAAACTAATACAACTTCCCCTAGCATGGCGCATCGCAACAGGTAGTGGCTTGGCATGCACACTACATATCCAAGCCATCTCAGTGGATAAAGGTTCACAACCTCACCAATCGACTTGCCTGTCTTGCCTATTACTGATCACATTGTTCAATAGTTTAGTTAGTTTTTCTTCACCGTCTTTTTCTTATTTTCCTTTTTATCAGCTTTTTAGTTTTATATCACTATAGATAACTTCACATGCAGTCCTCCACTTTCATCTTCCTTTCTATTCATGTGCCTTTTGTCGATGTGACTTATAGTAAAGTGGACTGCAACCCAACATTGTGCTACACCTTTTATTTTTAATGAGTATCCAATGATCCACATTTTCCAACTTCCATCAGTTTTCGATGTTGGACGACTTTCATCCAAACCATTCATTGAGTACCTGTCCCCACGTTCAACTTGGTTCAGGTATATAGTATCCTTTGCAAACTGCTAAGTTGTAAGAATCAACTCGAGGAAAACTTGGTCTTTGTGTTCAAGAGAAATATGTGCATCGAATTCGTCTGTCACAGCCCATACTAGGATGAACACATTTTGAACTTTTCTATCATAAATTTCACATGCCCCACATCTCATCTCATCTAATCGTATTCTTTTCTATTGTTCCCTTCAACCTATAGATGAAGATTTGTTTCAACATGTCATTAGTTTTATAACCTTGTTTATTAATACTACTACCAGTAGTCATTTTAAAATTTTGTATAATACTTTATATTCGTGATTTCGTTATTTAATTACTGTATTGACATGATTTTTCACTCTATTTGAATAAAATTCATCATTATATAATAATAGTTTGATTATGAGTAAACAAGTGCAAATATTCATACTCTCAGCTACTTGTGTGTATATAAATGAATAATAATTATTACTACTATTTATTGATATACTTGTAATTCTCCGTTGTTTTATTTGATCGAATTGTTCGACCTCTATCAGCATACGGGCTCCTACGCAGATGCCTCGATATTGCCCGAATATTAATTATGGGCACGTCCTGGATTCCTCTGCTAGCCACAACCAACTACATTACCATCATTGACATTCAAGCAATATCGAGGCATCCGCATACCAGCCCATACACCAATCAAGGTCGAACAATTCGATCCAATAAAACAACGGAGAATTACAAGTATATTTGAATAAATAGTGCTAACTACTAGCCGTTGTACAAGAAGTGGCTATCGTTTCTCCGTGGCATAGTGGATAACGCGTTGGCATTTGAAGCTATGGGTAAGGGGTTCGAGTCCCAATGGGAAAAACACCACTGACTGGGGTGCAGCTACATCCAGCTGACGAGTCCCAAATAGGACAAAACGCGAGTCCTCGGTCCTTTTGCTAGCCACAATTAACCAAATTACCACAATTATTATCATTATTAGACTTGAACAAGCCAGCAAGAAGACAAATATTTTGAGGTAATATTTCATCGTCTTTCTACAATCACATAACAACTAAACATGGTTTACAATCATAAATTATTCTCACTTTGACTATCTTAGATAGCCATAGTTTGGCAGATTTGTATTACTAATACTAGATGATGATTGAAGATGAAGTGAAAATTTAAGTTGCAACTCACACTATGCTCTTTAGTCCAGTCAAAAGTCAACGGGTACCCCTGCAACTTTACCTCCAACTGTGTATATGAATTTGTGTGTAGCTTTCAAAACAGAAACACTGAAAGAACAGAAAGAAAGGCTTATCTTAGATTTCCTAAACATATTTTGGAGAGGGGAAGTAACACTCTGAACAGTGTAATCAATCGGCATCTAGTTGATGCTGGGCATCAAGCAGACATCTTCAATGTCTTCAAGATAATAAACAAACGAAAGAGCTAAATTCTCCTGTAGTTTACTGAAGCCATAGCCATCAAACACTTCAAACCTGAGTTGTGTCCAAAAAAGCTATAATCAACCTCTATCTAAATTGATAACCCCTCTTGACTGTTACTTGATTATAGCATCCTTTATCAACCTTAGATATTTATTTCCTCACTCTTATTTAGTTGCATCATTTTCCATTCATATCGATTTTTTTTATTAACTGGGCTTAACTCACAATATTTTGTTTATTTATCATATGATCTTGGGACGTAATCATATACTGCTAACTCCCTCAATATCTTGGTTGCTACTCTTGTCGCTATTCTTTATTCAAGAAACTTTAATTGGTCTGTTTATTAGAAATATCAAACAGTGAAACAGTAGCATTTACTGGATAACGTTTTGGACACAACTTATTGTCCCCATTCATATCACCTGATATGAATATGAACAGTAAATTATGTCCGAAATGTTATCCAGTAAATACTATTGTTTCACTGTGTGATATTTCTAAGAAACAGATTAAAATGAAATTATAACCAATTACAGTGCCCAAGTTTTACTCTTATATTAATGAAACTTTCATTGGATTATGAATATAATTATAATAACTTAGTAATTCTTCCTTAAATTGACTATTTCTGTCCACCTTAGCGGCTGATCGATATTTTGTTCTCTTTCAATGAATTAAAGGATGTTAAATTTTTAAGTAAAACCATATATTTTGATATTTTGGGGGTTGTAAGGAGTTAACAAAACACTATGGTAATAAAATGGATCCGTTTTATCCTGATCACATTTTTGTTTTAGCTCTCTTCAAATTTATAAAAGGGGATTTTGTATTAAATCAAAAAATCATTCATCAGATTCGAGGAAACAGGGGTAATCGAAAAAAGATTACAATCAATGATTGACACTAAGGTAAAGCTAGTGATGTCTCAGGTTAGAAAAACAACCTAGTAAACCAGTACTAATGAATAAATTAAAGTTTGTGCTGATGACAATCGCTCAGTTGAAAGAAAACAACATCGATTGGTCACTGGAGAGGACTAAGTAAGGAGGCTCACCATCGCGATGTAGTTTAATGGAGTACACAACATGAATTCATTGGTCTCCAGTGGTCAATATACGTATGCAATACAGTCCTACAGGAGGTCAATTGCAACCCAAATAGCTGAATGGTAACGTCAGTAACTATAATACTGGGTGACGCAGGTTCGAATGTCATATGGGACATCAGTTCCCTCAAGGTTGTAGACTCGCTTTGTTGATGAGTGGCAACAAACAAGGAATCTAGGTTAATCATGGTTTCTTACCGATTACCCCCAACCAACTAACATCCATGAAAGAAGACAATGCAACGAAAGCATCCTGCGAATAAACTTAAGATACAATAGCATAGAACACTTGATTAATCTCATAGAACAACTTAATATCAATTTGAAAAGAATCACAACTACTTTGTTAGTGTATGGATAAAAGTATATGAACTCTTGTCGAACACAAAAGTAGTAAAAAGTTTTTTTTTTCTTTTAAATGCTCGGATACCTTTATTCAATAATTCCAATGTGTCTAGACGTTCTTGTTCAGGCATTCGTTGGTGACCTGGAGGTTGATCTGGATCAGGTTGATTTTCTAACTCTTTTTCAATTCGTTCTTTCGCTTGTTGTTTCATTTTTACAAGACTATAGTAAATAAAGGAAAATGTAGAAAATAATGAGTCTTGATGTAAAGTCTGTAAAATTGGTCAATCAAAGGTACGTAGAAAAAAAATGACAAAAAAAGCTTAGTAAATAAGACATATTGTTCTGTTAAACCCACTGGCTGAAAATTTATCTCCCTAAACCAATGGCAATTGACGCCGTAGTACTGATTTTATCAGTAGTATCTTTTTGAGTAAAGGATAATTGATTTCACTAAAGGCTTGATGTCCTCTAACTTTAATATATTGGCTGGTGGACGGATCATCATCAGGCTTGATGAAATGAATATGATGCATTACACAGATCGATGTAAAATATGACATACATCATTTCAAGTTGATACACTCCATAGCAACATGCAAAGAATAGAATCACATTAAAGCAGAATAAAAGGTATGACTTGATTTGAAATCAGTAAATGAGGATCTATGAAAATGCTCAAAATTTTGAAGAGAATAAGGGGTGTAAACATTTGCCCTGTTGTAATCGATTTTGAGTTATACCACCAAGAGTCTAAAACCATCTTGAAGAGACTAACCAGGTAGCTTACACCTTCGTATATGGCTCAGTTCGACAGTTAAAGACTTAATAACGTAGTATCACATCTTTATCTGGTCACACTTATTTTCTTTCTAACCAAGTCCTAATTCGGCTAACACTACGCATCGGTAGTAGGTGGTAGTTCTTTACCAGAAAGATGTGTTCAAGTTTGTCAATGTTCCTAATCTCATTGACTGACTTTCCTTGTACTCTGCGTTTTACTGAATCATTGCTCACATGATGATCCAACTACAGGAAGACAATTATAGACAAAAGCTGGTAACTTCTTAATATCTCTCACTTTCAATAGTCATGCCTCACAGTCTTGTAACAAGACAGAGTAGATTGCAGTGAAGTATACTTGTCATCTGATAAGTAATCGAATACATTACCAGTGCTAGAGATGGTGCAAATGCCACATTCACCTTTTGTATCCAAATTGAGGCTCTGTCAGCAACCAAGTCATCAAGACTGATGCAACTCCTAAAGTAAGTCAAGTGGTTACCATAACGAAGTCCTTGATTGTTGGTGTGAGTTGTCTGGAGCGATGTAGACTGCCTAGTTGGAGTTCTCGACGTGGTAAGAATCAGTGGTTGAGGACACTTACTGACGTGGCTGAAAACCAGTTACAATGGCCTTGATGAATTCACTCATTGACATCTTCTAGAGCTTGAATATTAGCACTAAGCGTTTTCTTCAGATGGTTCATTCTGTTATACAACTTTGTCTCCTTTGATATTGGTATTTTTCTATCCCCCTGTACTTTGTATATTACTATGAAATGTGACAACTTCAACCAATGAACTTGTGTGGGAAGTTCTACGTTGACTTCGTTTATCTATTTGTTATTTGACTATTTTTAGTATGAAAGTGAGTGTTTGAATTCACTAATGTTCTGGTTCTTAAATTTACATAAATGAAGATATTATATACATGACTATTTGATTAAGTCTTTCGCTATTCATTCAGTTCGGCCTTAGAATAGTCATCATATGACCACAGTAGGTGATCTGTATGAATTCGTTAACCACTGAGTTTAGTGTGCAGTTAAACTAACCTAGACACTGAAGCATATATACAAGCTTAAAATCATTTTACAGTTACACCATACAGAAAGGGTATGAATGAGGCCTTCCTCTGTTGTCAAATAAGGAATAATTCCAGGTACAAATTATACTGACGTGGAATTAACTGTTTTGGAAACACCCAAGCCGAAAACTGTTTGTACCCAACTACAATACATATTGAACAAGCTAACAATTCTATCTAAAAAAAGAATTCATAAACTAATTTAGAACTATAATATCAAAACAACCTGTCAAGAACAGTTAAGTGAAATTGAAGAGTGATCCTTGTAATTAAACTTCAAGTGATTCGCCTCAGATACCCCAAACTTTTCTGTGCATAAGTGAGTGAAAAGCGCCTTTGTGTGTTTCCTCTGTGAGAATCTACAAGTACTCTATTCGCTATTGTAAAACAAGGCACATCAATTGTAACAACACTATGCCTTCAAATTAACTACGACAGCATAAACCAACTTGACTTGACAGACCGCCTCACTGAAATTAGATCACTTAAAAACCTGTATCGTAGTTTTAAAGTTGTTTTTTAAGGAGAGAATAATCACATTTTTTTCACGATACGTTTAATCCCAAATTCTGTAAAACCACAGAAGCCTTGACTATTCCCACAAATTACAGCTTAATCTTTGTGTACAAAAGAACGTTCAGTTCTCTTTTATCTTAGCCATAGGACATACTTCTTTCTCTTAAATATTTCCCAAATCTTACTTACTTTATAGTTGAGTATCTGAAAAGTGATGAGCCACAGCTGACTGCACTCGTAAATCTCACACAACTCCTAACTACTGATTTTAGCCTCAACCTCACCTTTCGATACTTCAACAGCCTTTGCAAAAAACCTAAGACTGTACACAACAAGAAACTGTGTGCATTCATTGGGTTTTACATTAAAAAGTGATTAGATAGATGTTGTTTAACAGACAACAAGAAGAAATTAAAAATTATTTAACTCCTCCACTTCTCAAGTGACAATATGTTAATTTTTATCTCAGCTGTTGTACATCATGAGAGATAAAGTCCTATTAACGAACAATGGTACTGTATCAATCACTATAAGTATAAACTCTTTAAGCAGATGACATTTTACACAAAATTGTGAGCGTGACTACACGTTATTGTACAATGAAGAAAACAGATAACTTATTACAAGTTTTTGTGCTACAATAAGTGTCACATTTATTGTGTAACTGAGCCAAAGCAAGTGAATGAGCTCAGAAGAGCAAAACAATGCTTGATCGTTTAGTGCTTAGAACTTTTCTAACACATGGTAACTTAAATAATTACTATGATTTGGAAAACTTCACAAAAAGATGGAAACCGTTAAAAATATGTATGTCAGTGCTGACTTACTACGGATGAACAATTATCATATAGTTCCAAAAACAGTATTTCGGAAATACAGACGAAATCTTGCCGAAGATTTGGAAAAATGCATCGGTTCGAGTTACCACAGTTTGTGATACAATAGAAAAGAAAACTAACAGGGGGAAAAATATTAGAATCACCAACAACAAAGATGTCATCAAATGAAAAGTAATGATATGTTTGTAAGTTCAAAGATGAAAATTGAAGACATTTACGCGAATTTCGTCGACTTCGAACCATACCAGCGATAGCCTCATATCATTGATTCCTAACATGTCGAAGACAGCTAACATTGCTCACAATAACAATCCGTTATTTCGTGGATTGGTGTTCTGGTTTGATCTGGACACAGTCTTTTTCAAACTAATCGTGCTCCAGCTAGCAGTGCATATAAGGTAGATGGCCGTTAAGCATGCGTAACACATATATTAGCTACATCAGCTGACGCACAGCTTTGTTGAATCCTTTCACCAATTGAAAAACTTTATAACTAGCTTCAACACTCTTGTTTATTGATACTTTTAATTTCCCGTTGCTACAGTCTGTTAGTAGATGGGCTGCTATGTAGAAGCCTCGATACTGCCTGAATATTTATGAGGCTGTAGTTTACTTGGTGGCTACCAATGGAATGCAGGACGCACGTTCCATGCCATTTAGGAGGATGTACTTCCACTCCAGTGAGTGATGTTGTTACCCATTGAGACTCGAATCCCATTAATCCATCACTCCAAACCCCGAAGCGTTCATCTCTAGGCTGCTGAGACACGATAATCACTTCTTGTGCAACGGGTTGATTGACAACTGTAACTTCCCAATGCTGTCTAGAGTCCAATTGATCGGGACTGTTCAGTTTGTGATTTTACAGCACAGGAGCTACGTTACAAAGATACCTGCGGTCAGAAACGTACTATCCCCTTAATTCTATCAACTTCTACGACCATGCATCAAAACTGTAAAGTAACAGAGTTCAATATTTTCATTATATCTCATAAGGTAGTAGAAGTATCAGAGGACCGCAACAGAGCTGTCGCCATTACCAGCTGTTGCGATACTCCCACTAAATTGCTGGCTTACCCCATCTTGAAAATACGTATGAGTACATTTAACCAGTCCTACCTATGGAGTGGTAAGATCGTGTTTAGGTTCTCATGACTACAAATTGACTTGAACTCCCCAGCACATATTTGAATACTCCTTCTATAAAATACACTGATCTAACAATCATCAGGAAACAGCGATTTTTCTCTTTCACCTACCTACATACCTAGGCATCATCATTTCCACTAACGATTGTGGCACAGATGAGGATGTCAAGGCGAGGATTAGAAAGACAGTAAGACAGGCCTCCGTCCATTAATCTGAAATCGATATGCAGATCTACTGAACTCAATATAAAGAACAAGATCCGGATTTTTAAACACTAATGCCATTTAAGTTAGTGGTTCTATGTGATGGTTTAGAGACTTGGCGAGTTACTAGAAGCATTTCCAACAAACTGCATACATACAGGAAGAGCCGCCTACGCTCGATACTGTAGATCAAATGGCCAGAAAGAATAAGCAACAAGGAACTCTGGGAACGAACCAACCAAGAACCCATCGCCCAACAAATATGTAGAAGGAAGTGGAGATGGATTGGATTGGACATACACCGAGAAGACCATTCGGGGACATCACACGTCAGGTCAGGTCGTTGAGTGGAACCCAAAGGGGAAACGACGAGTTAGGCGTCCGAGGGGAGGGTGACATGGAGATCGTGTGAGGAGGAAGTGAAAGCTTGTGGGCAGTGGTGGAACCAGGTTCAAAAGACTGAAGAGAACAGAGTGCAATGGCGATGTGCTACTGAAGCGCTGTTCCACTAGGAAATTGAATGACTAATAATAATAATAATAATAATAACAATTCAAAAACACGTGATTATGCATACAAATAAAATATGACCTTGTCCGCAAATTGAGACATTGACATAGTAAGAGTAAGAATTAACCAATCAGCGAATTACATTATAATGAGGGCAGAAAATAAACTACTAATCATGCTGTCAAAATGGTGTGAAAATGACAGGTAAAAAAAAGCTCCGATGAATAACAACGTTTTATGTAAAACTGGGGACATACAACACTTCCAACGACCCTTCCCCATATGTTCCCTTCAAATTCTAACACTTCATAACATCACATTAAGGTGAAATAAACAAAGCTGACCAGGTTCATTGAAACAACCTTATCAGGGTGTTGAAGGAGATAGAGAGTGAACAATTCTCCACTATAGCTATTTACTTTGAGGGACGTTATGTAGGACTTCAAACTTTTCGACCGTAGCAGCCTAACGAAGATCCTAGCTAGATGACCTAGTTAATTCGGACCAACGATTCAATTCTCCATCTGACCACTTTTACCTGTTCTCCAACTTAGCACTATAGTGATAGATATCTAATTTTAAGCAGTGACACATGTCTAACGGATAGCTCAACAGGTGCGCGTTGACGACCTCATCAGTCAACTTCAATTTCTTGGTGAGAACTATACATCTAACTTCTAGAAAGCTAAGTTGACGAACCCACTAAACGTGAACAACACCAAAGAAGCAACAACAATCAAAATACTCAACTTTCTTATCAAATAAAACAGTGTGCAACTTATTCTGACATTCTTCAAGACTATTTTATGCTAGATAATTATTCTATTGACAACTGAAAGCTCAAATCAAATCAAATCGAAATGCACTTAACAACCTTGAGCACGTTCATACAGTAGGCGATGAGCCCCACACCTATTGTTAGAAGGTCAATGATACTAGCTGACGACACAAACCTCGGTAGGTGGGACATAGTTTGAATCTGTGATCCCCTGGTTGAAAGTCAACTACCTAAACCAACGAGTCACAACCAACATATCAAGCCTACTGGTGTAAGATATTTAGCTATTCGTTCAGAAAACAGAAAATAACATTCCTGATGAGTTAATTTGTGGACTGATTACACTTGCAAAACAGAATACTTTATTGTTTGTTAATTGTAAGCTAGACTGCAGTGTCACCGGTTTGTCGTCAATGAAGTAAAAAGTGAGTTAACAAAACCTTTATACATTATTATGGTAAGTTGAATCTGAAAATCAAGAAACTCCAGTCAAAGACGATAACTTTCACTTTATCCACTACTAGAATTGTGAGTCTATAAAGTCAACGACTGACTTTATGACCAAGATGAAAATAATTTTAATGTTGAGAAAGACTAGGAATGATCAGAATGAAGATATGACATTAATCTATGATGTTATTAATTGTTGAACTGAGTTGTATATCAACCTGTCTGGTTGGGGTCATGAAGGTTTTAGAAGTCAAGCGCTGACGACAGTTGATGGCATGAAGCAAAACTAATCACAAATAGGTGAGTAGTTACACTTTTCATCATACTGAAAGTTCTATACTTTTCAATGATACACTCAAATGGTAACCAAATCAGCTGGATATTACAGAGATTTCATCCAACGCAACACAAGTGAGGCTTGATAAGATGTCTATTGAAGAGAATCTAATGTCAGACGGACAGAAAATCAAAATCAACGTAGAAACTTGCACACAAGTTCGTCACTTCAAACTGTCACAATTCACAGTAGCACAGTAACATGTAAACAACACGTGGACAGAAAAATACTTATATCAAAGTAAATAAAGGTGTATAGGAGAGGAAACATTTTGAAACTGAAGGTCAGTGGAAATGTTCAACCTTCAGAAGACGTCATAGAGTTGATAAGTCAGCACCGTTGTCACCGATATTCCGCCACTAAACCGAGGGTCTCTAATCATTGGTTCTTATGGTCTCAGGGACCCAAGTTAAAGTAGTCTACATCTCCCTACACTGATCAGACCAACAGTCAGAGACTTCGTGGGCAGACCTGGCCACCCTAAGCCTTCTTTTCAACCCAATCCTATTTCTTCTGGCATTGTACATTGAGGTAGGTGGTAAATCAGCATGATCACCGCATGCCCGAGCCACCTCCGAAAAATGATTCACATTGAAGTTCATAAACCACTATAGAAATCAGTCGACGTTAAAATTCATTCTGTATTTCGTCGCAAAGGAAAGTATTTATATGACGCTATCCCATACAGAAGAGAATCTTATAGCACAAATTTAAAACGAGACATAAGGTCTACCATTAGCAAAGCGCATTATGCACCTAGGTTTGTCTTAGTTGAGAAAACCAAACATACGTTGCAGTACTAGACTCATCCTATGTATAAAGGATTGCGTCACTGCGTCTGCCAGTTTACATGTGTACTCATCACGAACTGACATTAGTTGTAGTACCATTGAAAACCTGCGAGCACTGAACAGCTGCTTCATCCTAGCATGAGACTCCTCGGCAATGCACACCAATGACCCCACCAGGGATCGAACTCAAGACCTAATTCCGTAAATTTGCGGGATAGTTCGACCTTTCATCAATTCCATCGTTGGGCATCTGTCCTCATGTTCCACTTGGTTTATATCACCAGTCACGATTTCTTACTGGAACTTCAGGAAATCTCACCTTGAAGCATGCCACTACTGAGTAAGTGAAAGTAATTCCGCATGGAAGACTAATCCAGATATGCATTTGAGGGTAATGCAACCTACACCTAAATGACTACAAAAGCAGCTGGATTTTAAAAAACAGATACTACTACGTGGTACATATCCACTTTCATCCATTACGAAACATAACATTGTCAAGAGATACAGAATCGATTCCGAAACAGCTTATGCAATTCTGTATAAAAATCATCAGAAACGTATACTTAGATTTGCTGAAGGGCTAGCCAAATACAAATCTAAGTCCCTTTTTTTGATCCAAAACAATTCGTCCTTACGACTGTAGTGGGAGTTACTGATAAGAATGGATATATGTAGTATATGTTGAGAGGGAGGCAGAAATCAGGGAATTACCAGCAATGAGTAAGGATTCTGCCAAGAGACAACGCAGGCGTATTAAGAGGAAATCAAGAGAGAAGCAGGAGAGGAAATGAAGCACATCTTGCAAATGACTGTCTAAGCGAAAGGTGTACCATATTTAACGACTGCGGTATCACCCGTTAGCAACAAATATTCTTTTCTTCATCTCTGCCTTCCCGTATCCTTGCACAACTAGCCTACCCCGGTAACATTTATCTTGTCCTACTTATTACTACAGTTGGCTTTAAAATTGTCTTGATCTCATTAGCTCTTTTTGTTCTTACATATGATATTGTCATGTACGTTTTATTTGATCTCTTTCTATTTCTATTTTTGGGGTAAAATGTCTTAACAATTGTAATCAGTTCGATCGAAATGCATGGTGCAAATAACTTCTATTCTCCTGAAAAACTAGGTTTTTCAGTTACACTATCAAAATTCATAACGGGAACTTTTTCAAATTACTGACTTTCACTGATCAACTATCTATCCGTAAATATTGTTTTTTTTTCAATATCTTTTCATCTCGACTGGTTTTCTCTTTCTGTGAAGTACAACAATTTGATTCAGATCACTTTTTTGTGTCTGTGTGTCAATCTACTCCCTCTCAATCTGAACTAGTAGTGTATAGTAACTCAACAACTATGTACATGATTGTAGACTAGACAATGAATCGTATCTCTAGTGGGCGAGCTAATGACAATGACTGATCTGACAGCTCAAATCTTGGTGGATTGAGTGGAATTCAAGCCGGTTACTCATCAATTGAAAGTCGAGCGCCTAGAATAACCAACCACAACTCCAAGCGCATCTGAAATGCTAAAGAAAATCATTTGAAACTTAACCGTGAAGTTATTTAGACAGTTCTAGATGATATATTTTGAAGTGACTAATGGGATTAGTATGTACCCTCATATATTCTTAAACACAAAACGCTTAATAATCTAGAATATTTCTTTGTTGACATAAAGTAAGTCATCAAATGGTTTTCAACTTACTAAGGTGGAATAGTACCATTTTTCAAACGTCTTTCAGGCCACATTCTTGAAGTATGCGAAATTTGTGATTTAGACATTTTTGTATCATTCAAACAAACATTATGATAAGTTTTATCATTGATCAGTGATGATGATGATGATGCTGATAAAGAATTCATACTTGCTACCCGACGAATACCAGCAGTGCTTTTTATACTTGGTACTGATGCTAGGTGTGCATTAGCTCGGACAAAATTTATATCACGTCTAATGAATTCAACCTAATAGACAGAAGAAAAAGAGGTAACATAGAATAAATAAACAATTTCAATATTCAATGCACACTTTAACATGAATAGGAATATCAACTTAATTTTCTTAACGTATGCGTGAAACACAAACGCAGAGTCGTGGCTGAGTGGTTTAGGGAGATTACTATTAACTGGTGAATAATCACGGGTTAGAATGCAGCTCTACTTACTGGGATTTGATCGGCCAGGTAGTATCACTAGCTGTCATACAATAGTTGTGGTTCGTTGTCGACTGTACAGATGTGCACAAGGTTGTTGAGTGAGTTTGGTTTCGCTTCGAAACACAAGCAGAATGATACAATAGAAGTAATGACAGAATCTTTATTACTATAGGCAGCAAGAGAGGTTTAGTGAGGATACTGTTTTTGAGATAAGAAAAACTGTACTCCGAAAAGGGGCTAGAAGTAGAACTTAAGCTGACTCAAAAATATTCTGCCACTAACAGGTACCTGATAAAATGTATCTAGAAGTACCACAAAGGTAAGAAAAAGAGAGGAGTATATCACTGTTGAAATGAAGCTGATGTTCTTTAGACTACTATCGAAAGATGATGATGCTGCGGAGAGAATCAACAGGCAAATGAAAAACCCAGTATATAGGAGTTATCAAGCTACAGAAATTGCTTCGCTGTATTGTGATGGTATGTTCAATTATACAGTTCAAATAAGACTAGTTTCCAACTCCCGTTAACTGTAACTGCATCCATTGATTCACATCTACATACATACATAAATAAATCAGAAGAACGTGGAGATAGTTTTCTACCAAGATTGTTGAAGATGTACCCAAGATTTTACACTTTAGAGGTTCAGTAACGATTAGGAGTGCAGTAGTACGTCACTTTGCCGACATAGGGCACAAAGTTGGCACATCGGAAGCCTTCACGACTGTGAATAGATATAGGAGTCCACATCCACTTCAAATTACTCAAGTTATTCCCATGCCAAGATCTTAATACCCTTATTTTGTGCTTATTTTAAATAACACCCATTTTAACTATTAATTAATTGCTATGGCACTTATTTTTACCACGATCGTACACATCTTATCCAATTAGTACTTTTTTTCAATAAGTTTTTTTTAAAAATGATTTCGTAACTGTTTGCCCTATATGTGATTTTAACTCTCATTCTCTCTAATTTGCTTTACCTTATACAACGTATCCCTAACCCTAACTGAATTTCATTATTTTAACTTCCTTTTTATTATGAATTGATCTACTTTTTCTGATCTTCAAAACACTAACTAGTATTCCAACACTTGATAAAAAGATTTTTAAAATTTATTGAAATGATCACTAACCTATTTATTTAAGTTGCAACTAATGAAAACTCTATGAAACAAAACAATTTCATCTTATTCTGCTGATGCATCCTGATTGAGTTGTTGAGATGAGATTATATGTGTACTTTTTAGAGAATTTAAACATTATCATGATGACCTTTCTGAGATTCGAATCAATTCTATGACACTGAAGCTTCAGTGATAGCAATACCTTATCGATCGAACTAATCAGAATAACATTTATAATACAGAGAGAATTGTTGGATGAAAACTGTTCATCGTTTAAAGATTTATATGATTATTAAACGAATATTCACTTGTATTGAAAATTCTTCACGAGAATATTAATTACTTAATATGCCTACTTCAAAATTTATTACAAAAAATATAGAGAAGTAAAGTTTATACTTGATTTTTGAACTTTTGAGTATATGTTTAGTAAAGTATAGCTGGTGTAAAGCTGTAGCTCACTAGTTTAGGCACTTTCAACCGATGGGTCATAGGTTTGAACCCCATGTCACCTAAAGAGCTTTGGGAATCTAAGTAGTATCAGTAACTTTCACACAATATGTGTGACTGACTGCCTACTGCATTAATGTGCTTATGTTTGCCGGATGAATCTCGATTTCCATCAACATAGTTAGTTACCGTAAATATCGAAGTTAGTGATAAGATGCACGTATAAATGCATGATTCGATATGATATGCTACACTGGGAAGGATATACAAGAACGAATCTCAGAATCTCATACATATGATTCCCAACCCTCCCATTAGTAAGTACGAAGACAAAGTAGAGAAAAACTGAACGCATTTAAGGTATATCTAAATTAATGATGAACGAAGCGAAAAATTGTGAGTTTACATATGTAGGATTTCTTGAGGTGACCACGTGGATCGGCCATACAAGAAGCGAGTTTACGGAGTCCGATTTACAATTTTGTCGACACTCAAATCTCCTATGACAATGTGATTTAAACTACTGTCTCTTTTAGCTTTTACGGATAGAATTTTTGGAAAATAGTAATGTTTCCTAACATGTTGCATGTCATGTTCTTTTCGCAATCAGATTACCTTTCTTGTCAATTAACCTATTAGTCAATTTATCTGGCAACCTACAATGAATACTCTCAGATCACAATTTCGGCGTTGAATATCTTATACGACTGAAAGACTTACGTGTAAATCTACGAAATCTCAGTTATATTCAGATGATGAGTACTAACCGAATCGAAACTCACCTTCACGCTTTCTTAAGGGAAGTCTACAACTATTAGCAGCCAAGTAATATATGAGGCCATACACTCAATCAATCTGGTGAATTACAGATATATATATGAAACACTGAAAGTGAACTATGTGCAGTCGAAACTGTGTATCATTTTTATCTTTCCATAGGATCGACTTTCCTCACTATCCGACGATTAAGGTAAGTCATATGTCAGAAATTAAATAAATCGAATTTTTAACTGCCATAGAGTATTTCCATGAATACATGACTACGAAGTACCGTCAATACGGATCATTGGTTAAATAGTCATAAACCACACTCATACATCTGATATGTTTTCTAAAATTCAGCTGAAACACTTCACAGAATGGTAAACAATCTCACTAACTGATTTGCCTTCCTTGCTTAGTGATCTTTACCTAGGTTTAATATCGTTTACATGATGGTTTTGTTATGTTCGATAACAAAATACCTCTAGCCTACTCGAGTTATTCTACTTCGAATGATCAAGTTTCACAGCTGTACAGTAGGAAAGAAAGGACCACTGTGGTTTCCGTTCGTTCTTTGATTTGCAGTCAAAAAGCTTGTTGATAGCAAAGATGGTGTTAGTTCTCAAACATAAAACAGACATTCAGTATCTCATCTGAGATTTCATGAACAACTAGAATATTATGATCGATGTAACATTTTAAGTGAGAAAACTAACGCACTGAAAGACAGATAGGTCGACAAAAGATATCAGCGTAGAAACTTGCACACAAGTTCGTCACTTCAAACTGTCACAATTCACAGTAGCACAGTAACATGTAAACAACACGTGGACAGAAAAATACTTATATCAAAGTAAATAAAGGTGTATAGGAGAGGAAACATTTTGAAACTGAAGGTCAGTGGAAATGTTCAACCTTCAGAAGACGTCATAGAGTTGATAAGTCAGCACCGTTATCACCGATATTCCGCCACTAAACCGAGGGTCTCTAGTCATTGATTTCTGTGGTCTCATGGACTCCAACCAAGGTAGTCTACACGTCCCGACACGGCCTCGACTAACTACGTGAACTGATGTCAAATCTCAGACTGGCCACTTTGAGCCTTCTCTTTCAATCTAACCCAACTTCCCCTAGCACTGAATTTCAAAAGAGGTGGTAACTTTGCACGCTCAACTCATGTTACCTCAGTCGGGTAAGAGTCACAACCTCAATGATCAATTTTCAATCTCTCCCTAATACCCTTCGTCCAACCTTAACATTGTTTACATGATGATTTCAATATACACGGGCCATGCTACGAAAACACATGATTAAAAACCTATAACAGCTTAATATCTACTTTTAATGGTCATATCTCAAAACCGTATAACAGGACAGAATGAAATCCAGCGCAGTATACCCATCCTTTAACAGGTATTCAGATACCTCGCCAGCGCCACAGATGACGCCACTTGGTACACTTTAAACAGGGAATTTGTATCTGAGCTGAGATTTCGTTAGCACCCAACCCGTTTGGCCTCATGCAAGCCCCAAGGTGAAGTGACACACTTCATCACTTCAGTTCCTATCATTAAACTGGGAATGCTTGGAGTAGACGAGTAGCGTAGCATCATCTTTTATTTGACAGGTGCGAAGCATATGCCTAACTTACACAGATTTCTGCTCAAAGAGTTCAGAAGACCCTGCATTGTGTCAGCGTCTTCATCCGGCAGGACAATATCGTCTGCCTACTCGAAGCCAACCAGATGACCTTCGTGGAGTTGATCAGTCCCTGTGAAGTTACACGTACTTAAGTTTATGCCCATAAATATGTCTATTACGAAAATAAATAGGAACGGTGATAGTGGGCAGCCCTGGCGGACACCACTAGCTGTTGTTAATTCACATGACTACTTTCCATAAAACCTTACATGGCTGCGTGAGGTCAAACAGAAATCTTTGACTAGCGTTATATACTTTCTCGGCACTCCCTTCAGTCAGACACTGCCACAACACCTCACAGTCGACAGAGTCAACACACCACATTCAGACCAAGAAATATGGCAAGTGTTGGCTGCTGACCAGTATGTATGGCTGTGTTCCAGAACCTGTTGGAGGATGAAAATATGATCGATATACCCTCTTCCAGATCTGAAACCTGCCTGATTTTCTCGACTTTGCTGTTCCCAAGCTTTAGTTAGGCATCAGATAACCATGGACCCCAGGATCTTGGACATGGTGTGAGCCAAACTCGATCCCCTATAGTTGTCACAGAAAGACATCTCTCCCTTCTTATAGACTGAGATGATCAAGGAAGTAAATCAATTTGACGGCACTACCTCTGATTCCCAAACAATACCTAGTACCTCCGTCACTTAAATCAGTAATTTCCTACCTCTATCCTTGGAAACTTTAGATGGCAAACTGTCAGGTCCTGCTTCTTTTTCACTGTTTCAGGTTTGATATAGCCCTCCTGACTTTAAGAAGAGATGGAAGAGCGACATCTACGTGATATTCACGTTCAGACTGGATGTTGGGCAACTGAAGCGCTTTGGGTCAGTCGAACTGCGCTTCTGCGTGTTCCATCCGACGTGTTGGCCATCACTCCTGAGAGGTTATCAGGGTCCCATCTTTTTCAGTGATGGTCTTGCTAATCATCATCACGATCTCGCTAGTATGCCTAATAAAGCTGAATATTTGTAGGGCATTGCATGAACTTCCCTACCAAACTAATGTAAGATAAAATATCGCTACAAACCAGTACTGAAGCAACATCTCATTCTAGGAGATGGGAAATGAACTTCAAACCATTCCTAAGTTAATGTTCAGGATGTTTAGAAGGTTTTGTATGTTTTCAGCATCTTCAGCCAACAGGAATATATCGTCTGTGTACTTCAAGTCAACCAGACTATTACCAAGTTGAAAATCAACCCCCCTGAGAAGTTGCAGATAAGTAAGGCTAACGTCCAACTGAACATGTATGCCTGAGTCACAGAATGATGACAACTGACACTACTTGTTATCTTTACCTCAAAATACACATTTTCATAAGTATTTACATTAATATGTGAAACATATACATATAACCCCATTTGTGATCTCTGGTTAATCGTCTTACATCACTGACAACAGATATAACAGGCAAGAAAACAAAAAATTGCATGTTCAACTTACATTTTTTGCTGATTCTGCCTTAGGTACAGATATCTTAGCTGAATTTAAATGTTTCTGCATCGAGGAGATAGGTTTATTACCTAATATTTTTAAATCGACTCCATCTTCAACATCCCGTGTATGCGCACGTAAGTAGTCTGTTCTGTTGACAGATTTAACTGGTGGCATTGTCGATGTAACTACTGTTCGATGCTTTTTATCAGATGTATTTGTTGCGAACCGTTGATCTTCATGACACTGTGTTCTATGATTTATAGATGAATTCTCTGAATTGGCAACAAGCATTGGAATAGTTTGTGTTAAGCGATTAACAAGTGTGTCAATTTGGGTAGTTGTTGAAGCATAATTTGAAGGCATAGATGGTTGACAATTTGGAGATGATACCTTATGTTTTTCAGCATCAATGAATTCATCTTTTGCATTACTGTCATCTGTTTGGCTTGGTTTAGTTACAAATGAAGTGGATCTTGCGTTACCATTATTACAACGTTCAATTTGTTTACCTGAATCATTTTGATCATATTGTTCATTCGATGATTGTTTTGAAGTATTGAATTTAGGCTTTAGAGATAAAGTCAACAAAAACAGAGATTTTAAATTTTAACACAGAAGATCAAGAGTTATTTTATGATGCAATACAGTAAATTGTTTATTGTTTAGACGTAACCTAGGTCGTACCTAGGTTACCTGGTTTTTAGACAGTAACTCATACAATCTTCCCCTGTTGTCAAGACTGCACTTCTATCTGCGTAGATAGTAATAACAAATTCAAGAAAATAAATCGATTTAAAACGAGATCTTTTGTAAGTTTTTTTCACCTGATAAATTATATCATTGGCTAAATTGTTAGATAGTGTTTATTGAAACTCACTTTACCATTGAGCGAGTGGGTCGGATTCCAATGCTCCAAATTTCCCTACTTCCGTCAATTCGCGATACAGCACGACTTAACCCAATGCGATCACTCAGTATCTATCCTCACTTGGTTTGCCCCGTCAGTTAAGACTTGTCATTAAAACTCCGGGAAATTTTATCTCGAAGCATTATTGTCACTAATAAGCACCGGAGAGTTACTCACTTTGGCGGTTTGTGGGGATTTATTGGCATTCTACACGGATTATTTTGTGAACTCACAGAAGTAAGATGTGGACCATTGGATTTCGACCAGCCAGCTCAATGGTAACGTGTTCGTCGCAAAACCTGTGGGCCTTAGGTTCGATCCCTGGCGGCATCGTGGATGTGCACTGCTGAAAAGTCCCATGTTAGGACGAAACAGCTATCCAGTGCTCCTACGTTTTCAGTGGTCCTCTAATTGATGGCAATCTGTGATGAATACCAACTTGAAATTATGATGAACTACTTTGGATTAAAAAAGCTTAGTGACTCGAAAATTTAGTGCGGTGATATCTTGCAGACTAACTTGACATATGCAATTCTTGAATTTGCGTCATCAGTCAATATAACCTTTGACAACAAAAGAGAAATAAAGAAAGCTTCGCAAATATGAACAAGAGACCTGGCATAATTGGCTAACGGACCAAGTTACCACACGTCATATATGGATGCTTTTCATTAGTTAGTGGATGAAGGTCATCTTAAGTTTCGTTCAAGGACGTTGAGAATTTTTCAGTCCTACGGAAATCAAACTGTACTTTAACTTGGCTGATAAACTTTTGAAGATTGATTTAAAAAAATAGGTTACACTTCTGCTTGCCAAATAAAAGCATTTCTATCACTAAAGGAAGTCCGTTTTTGTAAAAACTTTCCCATAATTCATACTATTTGGTGATCAATTTTCACAGGGTCCTATGAGTTCAAATGTCACTCTGCTAACTCAAAATGTGACAAGCAGACGACATAAATTTCCCCTAAAAGAACCAACGTAGCTCATCACTTCAGTTTACAGGAAGAGAGAAAAAGAATGTCATTAAAACTGACAAGAGTATATGAGGGGATGGAAAATAAATAAATGAAGGTTACCGAAAGTGTTCAGAATTCCAAAGATGATAAGGAATGTATACATCTGTGCCACTGTGTCCAATTTTGAGCCAAATCACTTAGAGTCTTCAACTGTTGTTTTATATCATCTTGAAGACGCCAACCACACATTGAGTAGAACTCTGAAGATTCTCAGCAGAACCAATGGTGTACCTTTAAGCCTTCCACTTGAAACTGTTGCGGACAAACATCATAACTCATGTAAATATCTGGCAGGAGTTATTTTATCATATGATCAGCATCTTCTTCACTCAAAGCTCTCTGCGTATCGGTCCTCAGGTAAGACCAGGAATAAGTATATAAAACTTTATGCACGTTCTACTAAATGCAAAAACTCTACAATACCGTGTTTAGCTCGTCTCCTGTACGAGGAAGAAAGTGTTAGAGATTGGTTAACTAATCAACTTTTGTTCCTGAAAGCAAACTAATTAAAGACTACACAGATTGCTATTATTTATGCATTATGAATCTGATTGCTAGTGTCATTGTTTACCTAAGTTAACTCTGTATTTTAAGAAAATTTGTAGCTGGAGTAAATATTATCTTTTGCAGATATAATTTCAATTTACTTTATTTTACTATGTATATAATATAAATTGTTTCTGTCCAATTGATGCTATAAGACATGCAGAGAGTTCTGTGCAGTATTATCGAAGTATCGGTCAGAATAAAACCCTTTATTATTATTATTACCAGTATTATCATTGTTATTATTACCATTACTATTATATTACATCTGTCTACATGGCTCAGACTAACAGATAGTGACTCTTTGAATTGGTGTAAGATATTTTTAAAAGATTTAATTCCCAATATGCATAAAGCAATATAAGTGAAGAAATGATGTTTTTATTGTACAGCTTATGGAAACTTTAATTTGGTATAATGCACGGACAATCAGTTTTCCTGAGATTTGTTGGACGATAATTTTATTGTAGATATAGCTTTTAAATACTTTTTCTTCTTCAGCTTCCTAGATAAGAGTGATTGATAGAACTTAGCTGTGGCTGTCAGTGGAACTCAGGAGGCACGTTTCGTCCTACTTAGGACTCGCCAATTGGATGTACCTGCACTCCATTTAGTGGTTTTGTTCCCACTGAGACTGGAACCCCGTAACCATCCCTTCAAACGCCAAAGCGTTATCCACTAGGCCACTGAGGCACGATACCCATCTCTTGTACAACGGATATTAGTTATTATTATTTGTTGATACTTGTAATTCTCCGTTGTTATGCTGCATCAAATTGACCTACCAAGGTTGGCATATGAGTTTCTATGCGAATGCCTCGATCTTGCCTGAATGTCCCAACAGAGTGATTAATAAACTTACAAACTTTCGGTGTTAAACATTAAGCTCATTACTACTAGACTAGGCTGTCTTATCAGAGATGAAACTGTGATTTATTCTATTGGTACACATGCAGTGTGATAAAAACAAAACATTTTTATCCCTATATTTGAATCACATAAGCGTAAGCTGTTTTTCTTTTTTCTCATCCAGTATAAACCAATGTTAATCAACTGGCTATTGAAAATTGGACAGTATTGGTCATTGATCTATTCCAAAATCACCGAAGCTTGGTACTGAAAACATCAGATTTTGAAGTAGTACAATTAACTAACCAAGAAATTACAATTAAAACACATTACTGTAAGGCTAACAGAAAGCTAATCAGGAAGAATGAACTAATGTTTGCATTACTATGGAGTTTGTTATATTACGAATGATAATCTCAACCGTCGGGTCTCGATTGGTTCAAGAGTTTGAAACTCACCGACTTTCCTTCGAATACGGTCTGCAACAAAATGGAAGCAGCGTCAAATGTTCCTACACCTAACGAAGACACAGCCACCCCATTAGTATCCACAAGAGATTGTGCAATTAACCTACTGAACTGTATCGTCCGCGCACTTCCTGTCACGTCAGCTCAAGTGGAAAATGAATCCTGCAAGGAACATATCATACAAAAGGTCATGCATCATGTCCAGACGAAATGGCCACAAAACTCGTTTACCGGCAACCTGAAACAACTGTTCTGCAAAAGAGAATCCCTTTGTGTTGTCAGCATCTGCCTCATGTTCAGAGAAGGCGTGGTGATCTCCCAGTCTCTTCATGTAAAATTCCCAAGTCAATTTCACACTTATCATCCAAGAATAGAACGTACGAAAACCATGGCCAGAAGCCATGCTTATTGATCCGATATGGATTCTGATATAGCTGAATTTGTCAGTGGTTGCGCATCATGTCAGAAGTCAGCTAAGAATCCTCCATGTCTCCCAACGAAGAATTAGTTGGCCATTGCCAGATAGACCTTGGCATAAAATCCACACGGATTTCGCAGATCCATTACATGCAACCTACTATCTGATTGTTGTTGATGCTCATTCGAATTGGTCGGAAATCGTCGCAGTATCTCCCGGATCATCACGCCGAACAACTGCTGCACTTACAAATATTTTCATCTGCCATGGGTTGCCCGAGACCATTGTTTCAGGTGATGGGTCACAACCCACCTCCCGTGAGTTTGCAGAATTTCGCAATGTGAATGTAATCCATCATATTCGTACACCACCGTACCACCCACTATCCACCATCCTAATCAAAGCAGGAATAGGAGGAGGGGATACGGATGTCACACCACAGTTTCTATTCATCTATCTCTCAACACCAAATGATGCCCCATCAGATCACAAATCTCCTATGGAAGTTTTAATGGGAAGAAAGCTACGTACATTACACTATGTAATGTTACCATCACATCGTGCACAAACAACGCAAACAGTCGGATCACACTCCAAGAGAGACCCCGTCTACCTACGAGATTACAGACCAGGATATGGCATGTGGACGAAAGTTGTTGTCATGGGAAGATGCATGAGTGTGTGGTGTACGATATAAAGGTGGACCAGGAGAAATGGGCGGGTCACAAGAATCAGATGAGTGACAGAAAATTCAGGCGACCAGAGAATCCAACCATACCACTCGATATTCTGCTGGATACGTTTAAATTATCATGGACACTGAAAGAACCTGAAACCGTAGTCAACATGGAGCCTCAACCTAGGAGATGTACGGATCAGAAGCAGTCTCAAACAGTTCGTTTCCAACTGGATTCGAAAAGCGAAGGTATTAATGTATTTTTTCAAAAAGGGGAGGTGTTGTAAGGCCCCAGTTTTACATAAAACATTGTGACTGATTTGAGCCTTTTTAACTTGTCATTTTCACACCATTTTGACAGCATGATTAGTATTTTGAGGGGTTGTGGAGATTTGGAAATATTTCAAGT